TTTAAAAAATGATGGTCTTATGGATGAAGAAATGCATCGATTTATTATATCTACGGCTAGTGATAATGAAACAGAATCTAATTCTGTTTCTATTCACTCTTCTGACAGTGATCATAGTATGACCGATCATAATTATTCAATAAAACTTTAATAAAACTTTTTAAATGTTATTTTATGTTTCTAATTTGATGTTGGTTGAACATCTTTATTTCCATTTTATATTTTAGAAATTACAGGAAGATTAATTTTTCACTAATCTGACCTTAGCAGTATAAACATAAATACCTATATAAAAAGACATTATTTTTAAAATATTCCTCGAACTGTTCGAGTACGTAGTTAATCAAACTAATGTCAATTTCTCCTGATTTCCCCATACTATATAAATTTAACCGTGGCAACATTATGTCGCGCGAATACAGCGCTGCGTCTGCGGGACTTCTTTCGTGAAATGGACTCTATAATAGGAATTAATGTTTGGTCTGCTTAATGTACGCCTATGTACCTGTCATAGCCAGTGCTCGAGCGAAAACATAATTTTAGCTTTGATGAAATATGTCTTTAAATTAAATTCCAATCTAGTACCTATTAAAACATACCTATGAAAACAAAACATTTATTAATTAATAACCGTCGAGATACATCTTAAATTATGCCCATAGACAATCATTTGCTATCTATGAATATAGATCAATGGTCCATAGCTAAATTTGCTGTCAAGCATGCTGTCAAGTGTCAATGTCGATCCGTCATCAGTTCGTGTTGTCTGTTTGAAACAAAACATAACCTTTCCTAATTTATTCTCTGAAAATTCGTGGACTTAATAAATCTTAGTAAATATTTTATTGATACTTCAATCGTATATTGTTAATTTACTACTAGTATTTTGATGAACTCCCGATATTTCTACGTCGAGATCGTGTAAGTACCGCTCGTTCCTACATAATTGCGTAATATTTTACTGAAATGAATAGCATACTGTAATATAAATGGGAGCATCGTAATCGCACGTTTTAAATCCTCATGTGAAGGTGCGACGAAGACCGAAACCGGCTGTCGTTACGAAGGGCCGTGGAGGAGGCCGCGACGCAAGTGTTCGGGTCGGCGGGCGCGGCGTGCGACGTGGTGCGGTGCGGCGGCGGGCGCGCGCTGCTGCGGGTGGAGGCGCGCGCGCTGTGTCGCCTGCGCGCCGCGCTGCTGCTGGCCGGCGCCGACCTGCGGCCGCAGTCGCTGGCTCCAGTGCCGCAACCTCTTCTATAGGTACCTGTGCCGTGCTAACTTTAATCTTGCTTAACAGGCCATTAGAATATGTTAAATGCCAATGTTTCCCATGAATAATTCTGACAATTCACCTCAATGTGACACATAGCTGTTCTTTCTTTTGTTTTAATTTTAATTCCCAACCAGCAGCTTGTCTGCTTGCTATCATTAAGGCCGCATTACCTTAATTTTCTTAATGTAATACATGTAGTAATAATCTTTTATCTTTACAAATAAATGAAATAATTACTAATGATAACAGTTTAGCTGTCCACAACCCTCAAGTGTTGCTGTATGTAACTAACTGCTTCCGAGCAGTTTCACACGCTCTGCTCAGCTCCTATTGGTCTTAGCGTGATGTTTTATAGCCTATAGCCATCCTCGATAAATGCACTATCCAACACAAAAAGAATTATTCAAATCAGACTTGATGTTACGGAGATTAGCGCGTTCAAACAAACAAACTCTTCCGCTTTATATAATAGTATAAGATAGGATGAAACTGTAAATGTACAGATGTCTGTGGTGTTCTATGTGTGTGTATAATAACTATTTAAAGGTGTGTGTTTTGTAGAGTAGCAAAATGTCGACTCGTTCAGTACTGTCATCTGGCCTGGATGGCAAGGATGTGGTGATTGTTGCCACTCGAGAAGAGTTGGCCAGTCCCAGTAAAGTGAGCCTGCCAGAGCCGGAACCAACACCCGGCCTCATTCTGGCAGACGGGTCCATCAACTGGGGCTGCCCATGTCTTGGGGGCATGGCCACGGGCCCCTGTGGCTCCCAGTTCAGAGAGGCCTTTTCTTGCTTCCACTACAGGTTTGTTTTCCATATTTCTATTCAACTTGTACTATGTACCTATGTATTAGTATATATATATATATACCTCTGATTTTGCTACTGTATATATTATTATTGTATTTATTTATTTAAAGAGCATGGAAGACTTACAGTTAATAAAAACAATTTATAATAACAATAAGCACAAATATTGGTGAGCCACTTACAAGTCATCACATTTAGAATTATGAGTCCGAATAAAAGTGGTGTGAGTACTGGATAAAACCAAATTAAAAAGATAGTAAAGGCTTCATTGAAAAACAAAATAGAACACAAAGATACAGACTATGCAAACAATTGCTTTTCAATATATTATTTTTTTCTAATATCTATTAGTTAGCTTGAAAAATTCGAGGCTTAACCACTATATTATTTTATTGTTGCAAATTAATACTACATGTTATTTTTTCTTTTGTAACACTATTTTAAAAGTTGTCATTAAGTAATTAATCACCATCACAACAATTAATTAATGTTATGGGTCACTGAATATTGTATTTCCTACCTGCATGTGTACCGGTACATTACGGGTGCAATAAATACTTGAATAATTATACACATATGTACTTACTTTCTGTTCTGACTTAGGCACCAATAACAAATTTACTGTTCATTAATACTAGGCAGTGTAACTCGCCGCTCGCGTCGCTCCTATGTAACAGAGTCGCTAGCAAGGGAGGCTCATGTGATGCTCGAATGTTTCAGTGACGCGGACCCTAAGGGCAGCGACTGCTACGAGAAGTTCAGTGTGATGCAGGAGTGCATGTCGCACTATCCCGAGCTCTACGGAAAAGATGACGACGACGAGCTGGCCGCCGCCATGGATTCGGCCGCCGTGGACTCGGTCACCGAGAACAAGGCCAAGCCGGCCGCTGCCGGCGCGGGCGACGCGCATTAGCTGTCTTGTCACCGTGACTTAGCTACTAATATTACGTTATTATTGTTATTAAAGGAGTAGATTAGGTTAACAAATACTTGTTTTTCTTTTTTCTGATAAAGGATGCTATTGTTAGCGTCGCCTACAGCCACAAGCGCCGTGCAGTCTGCCTGTACTATACAGGGTCGACGACCAATGGAACCTGTGATCGACAAGGTTCCAAGAGTTATCAGAAAAATATTAAAAAAATCTAAACCATATAGTTTTTAAATGTACTATGACTTATGTGTTACCCACGAAAAAGTATAATTGTGCCAGTCTTTGACTCTTGTTGCTACAATTCTTTGTTATTTCATCTGTATTCACTGCTTATGTTATCCTGAATAGTGCTTCAATATTGTGGAATCATAAATTCCGAGCCAACTGCTTTAGGTTGGAAAAAAACATCAGTTTTTGACGAACCAAGTATTCTTAATGAACTTTTCATCATACCATAAGTGACTGTCCTGAAAAAAAAATTGTACTGTACTAGTAGTAGCAAATTTCACCAAAGTTGGCGCATGTAATAAGGATCCTGAAATGGTATAACTCTCTACACATTATTTCTTCAATTCAACACAAAAATATATTTTTCAACAAAACTCTATTTCGAACAATTCATTAGGTCTTACTAAAATTTATTCTAGATAGACAAAGGCCTCTCGGCAGTCCTCCGCCTCCATCCAGTGGCTCCCTACGACTGACGACGTCGTCGCTCAGCGCTCTAGCTATTTAATGAGAGAGAAACCTATAAAGTTCCAATTGCGTGGCTGTACACTTTGTATTTCATGGATATTTAAGATGACACTAAGGTACTTCCTGAAGTGAAAAACGTTGTTAGTTGTTGTTGTTAGTTGTTGTGTTGTTTACAATCGTCGAAAAATTCTTAAATCAGGAACTTGGATGAAAGTTAATTGTACTTCGCAAATTGATATTATTATAGTTCACTATACCAATTTTTGTCTTCTTGGTCTTGACAAGTGGTATGTCAATCGTCATAAATAATAAGATACGTATTCCAAGACAATGTATTTCGTATCAAAATCTTACATCTAAATACAATCTAATAGAATACTTACATTTTTTTTTATGGCGTAAGCCGGTAAACGAGCAGACGGATCAATGATGATAAGCAATCGGCGTCGCCCATGGACACCTGGAACACCAGAGGCGTTACTAGTGCGTCACCGGCTTATTGGGGATTAGGAGTTTGAGGATCGTTGGGGATTTAGGGATTGGGGAGATTGGGGAAGGGGAAGGTAATTGGGCCTCCGGTAACCTCACTCACACGACGAAACGTCGGTTTTCACGTCGGTTTTCTGTGAGGCCGTGGTATCACTCTGGTCGAGCCGGCCCATTCGTGCCGAAGCATGGCTCTCCCACACTTAAAACATTTTTTCCTTACATTACATTTTTAAACGCAGTTTTTATTTTATAATTTTTAATGTAAAGCTGCAAAGACCCGTTTCAATACAAGTTAATCAAGCAACACAAGATAGTTACTATAAACCGTTGAGGGCTCCATCATCAGGTCGACTCCAGAGCCTGATCAAATTTTAACGTTTAAATTTTTTTATTGAATAACATAATTCTCGTATTATTCGTCCCTTCATTTTTTGAAAGTTTCCGTTGGTTTCCCTAGGATTCCATCATCATATCCTAACCTGATGAAAATCAAACATACTACGATAGTCTGACACCCAGTAAACGAAGTATGATAGTTTTTATTCCGAAATTCACACGGCAAAGGGGATATGAATCAAAATTCCGTCACTTTCAAATCACTGAATGTATTTAATTGAAATTAGGTACAAAAATGTTTTGCAACCCGGGAAAGGAGATAGCATAGTTTTAATCACTGAATCCTCATGAGGCGACCTCTGTACGAGTTAAAACCTGATTGTTGGGATTGTTTATTTTTAAATTAATTAATAAATGTACCCTAAGTACTGAATGAAATCTGACGATATTTTTTGTTACCGTGGAATGTCCCTTGGTGAAGTCTAATTCAAAAGCCTAAATTCTGCTAGAAGTCATTCTACGCGGACGAAGTCGCGGGTAATAGCTAGTTACTAATAATAGTTATTTTTTGCTTTTTAGTTGACTTTTTATTTGTTATTAGTTTTTTGGATTTTTGAAGTTGGTTTTTTAAACGCAATTTTAATTTTTTGTGTCATACCTATAATTGGAAGCACACATAGGACTGTCACTCTTACTGACTAAAAACCACTCCGTTCCTACTTATCCCCTCCTCCCCTCCGAACCGGCGCCCCGGCACCTCGTCAAGTCCCCCGCGGCTCCATATTATACATCTGTATAGGGTATAATTAAATTAGTAAAAGAAAACCAGGCACAGGATAGTACTAATGATAACGAACAATTTCCCTAAGGAAGTAATATTGTAAACTCCTTCACCTCAATTTTATCGTAAACGATCACACGGCCGCGAAGCTAGTCATTTCCTAAATCTACAAATTAATATAGGTACTACAACCATAGCTCGTAGTTCATAGTTCTGGGGCCTTAGTACGAGTGTGATTTTCGTTTTAAGTATTCGAACGAGTACGCGTAAGAGAGTGCCGACACTCTGATTGGCCGGTGCCAATGAATCAACCAATCAGAGCGCCGAACGCGTACTCGTACGCTCGCAGCTCGTAGCACGCAGATGTAGACCGTATTTTGTAGCCCGCAGTGCGTAGCAGCGTTCTCCCACTGTATTAATCTCGTAGGCGTGCAAACCGTAGGCTCTATACCTGGTGGGTTGGCCGCATTAATGGATGCAAAGTTTGTCTTTGATTAGTTTTTTTTTTTAATATTAACCCACACTAAGATTTTGTGTTGTGTCGTGGGTGCGTTTACAAACGTACAATTTAATATACACATGACGCCCAGACCCGGAACAACAATCTGTGAATCACACAAAGAGTTGTTCCGTGCGGGATTCGAACCGCGCCACGTTGCGTGGCTGCTAGTTCCCAGCCAGCAGCCACCGCGCCAACCGGCAACCGTGCAGTCAAGCAATGGGGCAATGCAGTCAATATCCGACAAAAGTCCATTCTTAACTAATAAAAGGGTGCAGGTTCGAAACCTGGCAAGTCATAATGTGTCTTTTCTGAATTATAAAATACTAGCTTCTGCCAGCGGCTTCGCCCCCAATTCTAGGGGATAAATGTAGCCAATGAGTTACTCTAGAACGGGCTAATATTTCCTGATCCAAATTTCATCCTGTCGCTTTAGCCGTTTTGACGACGTGATTGAGATACAAACACACGCGCGCCCACACACACACACACACACACACACACACACACACACACACACACGCATTTATTGTATTAGTACGGTCAACCTACTTTATAAAATGTAGACACCAGTGATATTTATTGATGCTGCGTCGTGCCTGATGCTGAACAAATGATTTTTTTTTCTTTTACACCACGACCACGGTCGGGCCCTAGATTGCTAATTTAACAAAATTCATTATTTCAATTTCAACACGACCCCATTGTAATTTTATTCGAACATAGTAATCTGCTACCGTTATTATGGTCGAATATTAATCGATCGGCCTTAGGCCGTAGTCGCGTACCGCTCATCAGTCGGCGGCATCACCTGTATGGCCCGGCTCAGTAAGGCAACTACCACTCTCACAGAATAGCAGCAGCGTGAAGTGAACTGTAGTGAAACTCTATCCATCTTTGCTTGTCATATTAGGTACCTACTGTCGAGTCCCCGGCAATCGGTGTAGAGCAGGCGCGCCCGGGCTGTGCGACGCACAATCAGGCACAATGGAGAACAGGAAGCGTTGCACGGTTTTTGTCAATTCTCAACCAATAGTCATCGCTTCACCCGCCTCTACTCACCGGTACCGCTGCGGATGCGGCGGCCGGCGTGGCAGTGCGGCCCGCGCCCCCGCGCCCCCCGCCCTCTCCACCACTCCGCGCTGTGGCCCGCATCCCAGTGATCAGTCGTACAATATGTCGTGTCGCTCTCATTGCATTAAAGCCGCTAGGCGCTGCCCCGCTGCAACGCTGGGCTCACTTCCTACTCATCAAGTAGTAAGTAGAACGTAAGTAGGCAATGAGAGATAAGGGTTTGGTGGTAGTAGATTCCACACAGATTTGTATTTTGTGAACGACATAATATTGGTATTTATACCTATGAAATTACGGTTTTGCAGTACCTACTGGCCAATTGAAATCAAAATATTTTTATAATAGTGAGACATGCTAAGAGACGTGAGACATAAAATATTTTTTGTTTGGCTAAGAATTTTGGTTTCAAATTATTTAATTATAAAACCATGGATTGTTTTCCATAAGTACCTAGTTATTTCTAGTAGTTATTGATAAGTGTTACATTTTCATCGCATTTCAATATTTTTCGTCATCATGGATACTTTAAAAGATCGAGTAATTATGGAATATGAGTACCGTCGTGGCAGCGGCAGCAACACGGCACAAGAGGCATGCAACATCAACGATGTTGACAGAGCTAACAGCACAAACCAACGCACCACCTCAACCACCTGTTATTAGTTCGCTCGCTTCCGTTCTGAAAAATTGTAACCTGCAAAATGAACTGCGCCGTCGTCCGAAGACTTTAGTCGTATTAAAGGCGATTGTGGAAGCTAATGATACACAATCTACGGCTGAATTAGCGGCAGCTTGCGATGTTAACGTTAACGTCAAAGCAATAAGATCCATTTACGTCAAATTGGTAAAAAATGCTTGACAAATTGGCGCCCCACATACTCGACCATCGCTAGCGCGAAGTACGCGTCGAGACGTGGCTCGCACTGCTCAACAGATAGACAAATGACGGAATTTTGAACCGCATTGCTACCTACGATAAATAATATTTAGATTCCGTCTGATAACCGCAAGCGGTCTAGTTAGTTGGATCCTAGTTTAGCATTTAAACAATGCCATAAACGAAAACTTACCCCTAGAAAATTTATCACTGTTTGATGCTCTAGCGCCGGTGTGATTAATCACAGCTTCTTACTAAAGGGGGGTGAGTATTACTGCAGATGTGTACAGTGAAGAACTGAACACAATGGTGGAGAAGCTGGTAAATCTACAACCAGCATTGCTCAATCGCTCGTTTCCACTGCTCCTGCACGACAACGCGCAACCTCATACTGCACAGCAGACGGTCTCCGAGTTGCAAGAACTGTAGTTGGAAGCTCTTCTTCATCCGCCCTACTCACCAGACCTTGCGCTTATAGACTACTACTTTACCAGAATTTGGATAACTTCTTGGTGGGAAAACAATTCAATACCCGAGAGACAGTAGACAATGCCTTTGAAGAATTTGTTGCCTCTCGTCCAGCTGATTCCTTTAAGACGGGCATCAATAAACTGCCGCTGCGATGGCAATGGTGCATTGATTGCATGGGTGATTAATACATATAAAAAATACATGAAAAGTTCATCCCCGGAACGAATGGTTCGATTTGAATAATTAGGCTATAAAACATCACGCTACGATCATAGGACGCTGAGCAGAGCGGGTGAAACTGCGCGAAAGTACCTATAGTATATAAAATTACTGCGAGTGACGCAGTACAGTACTCTGTAGGTAGTGATGATAACTGAAGCTACGAATGGAACGTCATGATCGTACTCAAAGCTCTAGAACGAAGTACATTGGTCACATCAACATGGGGGACGCGGGAGTGTGGTTAATGTAGGTGAACACATTACGCACTCGGTAGATGTAAGCATCAGAACGCAAGTGCCTGGACGTGCCAACTAAACAACAACCAAAAACAATGTGATTGTTAAAGCAAACGCAGTTACAATTTACAAGTACAATGATGCTCTGCATGTTTATCAAATAGTCTCCGCTGCAGTGCCAGTTGACGTGTGTCTATCAACACAACACATATTTCAGGCGAATATCACGATATCAAGTCTGTTTGTTCCAAACCAAATATTATAAATAGTTCCCACGCACACCGCCAGCTGTCGCCCGCCGGCGCCTCAGCCGCAGCTGAGTAACAGCAGTCGGTGTAGTCGGCAAGTCGGCAGCACATACCCATAGCATACACACATAAATATGGCACACAT